GCATCATTTAAATTAGTGAAATGAAGAAGCCTATTGAATGTCAGCAATTTCTGTCAATTACTTCTAGAGTTATGGCCCTTGTTCTACTTTGTTGAATCTTGTGAACGTTCGAACGACAAAAGTTATCATCCGATCTGTATGAAATTGATATGTATTATTTGAATTAGTAAAACGAAAAAGTCTGTCGAATTTCAATAATTTCTGTAGATTACTTCCTGAGTTACAGCCCTTATTTTAGTTTTTAGAACCTTGTGAACCCTCAAACGACGAAAATTATAATGTCATCTGTATGAAGTTGTCTATTAAATGCCCCCTAATTACCTACAAAAGAACAAATATACGACAACTCTTGTCGACCGCTCGGACGATTTAGCTGCTGTGGGCGTATGTTTAGTTGCCTGGCAACCTATCTTTATATAATGTAGGCCCTATTTAGCTCAGGAATCCATAGCCCTAAAGCTAATTCAAGTATTCAATAGAATAACTTACCTCTATGACTGGTTGTGTTTCGTAGAGCTTAAACAAGATATCAGCTGCTGCAAAATTTCTAGAGCCTATCTTACTAAGAGACACTGCAGGTTCGGTTCCAACATCTTCCTTCTGTATCTTCATCTGACATCTTAAAGTAAAAAAAGAGAGAAATGGGGATTAACACTCACACAAAACAAACCAACATTTTTGGACTGACACCCAGGAGGTTTGACTCAATGAAAGATCTTATGAGCTTGGACCACTCAACCACCCCTAAAAACAAAAGAAGAGTAACAAGCAAACTGAACATTTCAAAATTTTGATCAATGGGACAAGACTAGATCTTAAAGCTACAATTTCATATTTGTTAAGTTATATTTTTAAAATTTATTAAAATAAAGCCTTAAAATAGATGGTATCCATACACAGTCCTACCTTGTTAAAGAATAATCCTATTAATCCTATAATTCACTATTGCCAGCTGCGAAATTGGCAAAATTATCATTTTCGAATTCCAACATTTGAAGATAGCTAATGCATGGAGGCAATAGGAAAACAAGGGAGGTAATTGTGTTATTATTTCCTGTGTCAATGATTTTTAAGGGTGGGAAATAATGCCCATAGTCGTATAATAGTGAGTTGATAACCTATTGAGCAAAAGACATAGAAATAATTATGTTTTGACTTTCATAGAAAATATGAAATTCTGGCTTGAAGGCTAAGGCCAGGAAACACAGCCTAAGTCTTACAGTTAAGGCCGGAAGACGCAAGACTACAGTAGGTCTTAAGAGATTCAAGACTAGGTCTTAAGAGACACAAGACTAGGCCTTACAGTTGAGGCCAGAAGATACAAGACTAAGCCTTACAGTTGAGACCGGAAGACACAAGACTAGGCCTTAAGATTATGGCCGGGAGACCAGACTAGGCCTTAAGGCAACTTACCTGAATACACGATCATCATTGTCAAAAAACTCCCATTCCAACAACATATTGTTGACAAAACATGAATGTTGTAAAATATAGAAACCTTGAACTTTACGATCTACTATCCAACTGACGTCCTCAAAGACAACGATATCCTTGGCTGGTAGTGTTGATATAGGTTTTCGGGTCCATTGTAAGCGATGAAGATTCGAACAGTTATCTTCCAAAATGCAGTTGCCCTTGACACGAAAGTCGATAACATCTGTTGCTGCTTGGTCGTGTGGTTGAAGTTTACTGTGTTGGGGGAGGATGAACTCGGGGTCACAGTTCGTGAAACCTATCGGGCTTTAGAGTAAGCGTCTGCTTGGGCATCTGTTCGGTTCTCTGCTTCACCAATCATGATGAGATGACCAGCTAGATAGAGGTTACAGAAAATTTTCTCCTTTTCTATTTCTGTGTTCATGCTACGACGGTATAGACAAATGGGCGTCAATTTTACATCGTTGAAAATTCCATCCAAGACAGTAATGATGGATGCAGGATGCGTGGCACTGCTAAGTTCGTTCATTTTGACAAACTGTTCACGGAGATCAAATGCCCTAGGATTTGGTGCTGCCTTTACCAAAGTGCTCTGAACCTGTGCTTCTGCTTCTGTTATGACAGACTGTTCGACACCATCTAAGATGTTGCCATGTTCAACATTCATGGTGGTCAGTCGTTCAACCACCATATTATAACACAATGACTTAGCAGTTTTTTTGGAAACTGAAACACCTGCACCTTGTAGTATGTTGTCAATAAAGTACATTCCCTTATGATAAACTTTCCCTGATTCAGCTTTACAACTCTCTACATCATATCGACAACGGACTCGACATTTAGCCACAGAGGCCGCCAACTCCATTTTGCTGACTGAATTGGTTGAAGCATATTTAGGATTGGTTAGAATATCTTGGATCTGTTTCAAAATAGATGGTGGGGGTAACTCTGCAATTGTTTCTTTCTCCATCTTAGCAACGGTCGAGTTAAAATTCTCCAGTTTCTCCTTGATAACTTTTGGGGTCATATCATCCTGGTTCAAAATTTCAGTGACAGGAAGGGTACGATAAAGTTCCACCGCCTTCTTGAAACATGACAGTTTGATTTCTTTCTTGTTGATGCCGATAGCTCTGGCTAGGAACACACCACCCAGATTAAGTCGGCCAGTGAAAAAGGATCCGTTCTTTCCTTGTACCATGCCATCGATCAAAAAATCTGGTCAAATTCCAACTTTACAACTCATCAGAGAATTCTCAAACAACTAAAATGAAATAAAATAGGATTTAATGGGAAAGAGAGGAAAATGGGCTTTATTGTTCACTCGACACTAGGTCATTTCGGGACTAACATATAGTTCATTTTATTTCATTAGGGGTCTTTAGCAGTGGAAGGAAACCCTGAGGACATGGAGAAAACGCACGAGGTTGAACAGACGACCCTACTCCTTGTCACGTACAAGCGGGTAATGACGCATTAACGCTTCGACCACCCAAACTCGCCCAACTGGTCTTATGTAGATGGGCAAATAAAAGAATTTTATACGTAATACATGCTTGAATAAAAATAAAAATAAAAATAAAGCAGAATCTGTGTTTTTAATGAGATTATTGTGAAAAATATTAAACATGCATTATGCAAGAGCTAAACCTGTCAATTTCAGGTCTTTCTTTAGGCCTGAAATCTTATCTAAATTATTAATTAGACATTAATTAACTTATCCAGACCATAATAAACTCCCGATGTCAAGGCTAGCCTTCGATGTCGACTGGATTACAATTCTATATGCTGCTATCGCTCATTGATAATTAAATCACAACAATAGACAATCGAGACTATTAGTTTCGAGGCTAGGCGAAACTTTCATCCGCTTAGTTTTCGGTTCATAGTGGACCAATTTGACTGACATTTTCAGCAAATTCCCTTTACATTATGTAGTTTTTAACTATTATAGTGAGAACTGCTAACTCGTTATCTTATCTCCATCTCCCATAATGTATCTTTAATAAATAAAACCTCACCATAATTTCATTGATTACTTTTTTTTCACTTCGTAAAAACATTGAAAGTCGTCGAATTTTTTCTGCTAGCGGCAATTTTGTGGCATCGATTGGTTCTGGGTTGGGTGTTTTGTGTACAGCGGCAGCAGGCAGACCTTTGTTATCAATGGGGCGTGTCTGGCAGCCTGGTAATGTTTCCCATTTCTTCTCTGTAAATAAACAATTAAAAAATGTAGTTTGTTAAAGCTGCATTTAGTAACTGTATTGAATAAACCATGACTAATATACCGGTGTATTAAATACAAGTTTTTTCACAGTTCATTTCTGACGACGTCTTGAAAAGTGTTCTCTTGTATTTATCAAGCCACAAACAAAATAAACTTCTAAATAACTTGTATTCTGAATATTGTTTAGTGCCCAGGTTCACTTTGCTCATTTCTGTTGATCAGCGACTGGGGAGGGGGGGGGGGAATAGGTTTTACATTTAGATTCAGAACGAACATGATTCTTCTACAGCCATCCTTTTTACAGTGGTTACAACTTAAACATACAGGTTTCAAGTTTAACTGACTACCATGACTAGAGAATAGAATAACGTGATTTATCAACGAATTAACAGAATTTTAAAACAAAATTAAAAGCTTTTGAGCAGTAGTACAGGTAAAAATTATGTGTGTCAAAAAGATAAGCACCACCGTTTAAAATGAGGTCTGTTTGATATTTAACCATCAACAATAAATTCAGATGGTTTTTATTTGGAACCATGTAATATCCATCACAAAATACTTCCAGCATAAGTCTTGCCACTCCAAGAAGAATAGTATCAGGTTCCTTTGGTACCATGGTACTAATCAAACAAGAGGTGTTGAGGACGTGATCCAAGTGAGAGAGGGGGGGGTTGGATGGCTGAATGGTTAGCTGTATCATAAAGTCTGTCATTGAGTCAACTGGCGTGGTTTCGAATCCCCGGTTGTACGTGACAAGGAGTAGGGTCGCCTGTCCAACCTCGTGGGTTTCCTCCGGGTCCTCCGGTTTCCTCCCACAGCTAAAGATCCCTACGCGCAAGCGAATTATGGAAATAAAATTGAACCATATGTTAGTCGAGTGGACGTTAAACCCCATTTCTCTCTCTCTCTCCAAGTGAGAGAGGGATACACATGACGATGGTTATCACTACTCTTGTCTGTAATCCTCATCCTTTTCCTGACCAGATCATCATGGCTCATCTAATGGACTCCTATATTTTTCGAAATCCTCAATTAAAAAATATCTATTACTTAAATGACCAAATATTCCTGTCTTGTTTTACTTTAAGGTGGTCCTTAACCTTTTGTCAGTTGTATTTATTTTTATAACTTACTTGCACCACCGGCACTGTTTGCGGGAGTTCCAACACCTCCTATAGAATTCAACTCATTGTTAAAAATATAATTTGCGGGTCACGGAAAGATAACTCTGTTTGGAAACATGGTTTGGTGTAGAGGAGTAACCGAAGTTGGCCGAGTGAAATCTGCAGCCGGTTGCCGAGTGAAAAATAGAAAGTAACTCATTGAAGATCCAGTATTGTGCGATTCAAGCATCGAGTAGAAGACATTTTATTAATTTGATGGACCGTAGCTATATAGATCTTCGTTATAGCTGATTAAAATCTGTAAGATATTGCAAGCTAATGATTTGATCACAAAAAATAGCAAACTGCATCGGGTTTGCTAGTTCCATTAAAGTAGCTAAAAAATTAAGTCTCTATGATCTCAATATATATAGTCAATATCATGCAAAGTCTTACAAATTGAAAACACGAATTATTTGTCAATTCAGATCAACATTGATGTTGTAATCTTACCAGGAAAAGGTAGGCTTCTGATATCCAATATTTAAGACAAAAAAAAACATTTTACCATTGGTACACGAATATTAGCGATTTAGCTCCTTTAAGAACAGTCTCAGATCGATCGAACGCTTTAACCGTTCCTGATCGACCGTAATATTTAACAGGCATTGCCTGATAGAGCAAAGGAGATTATACTCAAATATAAAACCTTCATTTCATAATTAAGTTTCTCAAGTGATGTAAAAATGTTTAATAATTTTGATTTTCCAAATTGATTTTAATTTAGATCTAAATTGTATGAGCATTGAATAAATTACTTACATATTAATTTGGTTTGAAAAGAACAAAAACGTGTGAGAATTATTTTCATTGGTCATGTATATGTGATGTATATGTGATGTCATAGATTTGATGTGTAGTCTTGCTTGGACGAGATTTAATAGAGGGGAGATAACTCTATGTTGACATGTGCATTGCCTGTTTTTCCCATTGTATCCTGTTCGGGTCTGAATTGGTTTTTAACTAACAGTCTATAGTAGTTTCAGTGACGCTCTTGTGTTACAGGAAAAGAGCATTGCTCAAGCACTGCCATTCACGCGATACTCTATATTAAGCTGCAATATGAAAACACCCCCTCCCTCCACCTCCCCGTCTTCATTTGCCCAGTCGGGGCAGAACAGTAGGACGTTAAACCCCATTTCATTTCTACCCCACCTCTGTATGAGGCTATTTTGGAATCCTTACCTTCTATTTTTCACCGTGATTTTTTTTATTATTCACCATAATAGTTCAACAATATTTTCAAGTGTTTGAAAAACATGTTGGTTTTTAGATGACGTCTATACTTCTATTCAAGATTTCTTTCTGACAATAAAACAATTTAATACAGTCACTCATTCAATATTAAAACGAGAATTTCAAATTTTCTAAGAAAGTCAAAAATAATTATTTCTATGTCTTTTGCTCAATAGGTTATCAAATCACTATTATACGATCATGGGCATTATTTCCCACCCTTAAAAATCTATGACACAGGAAATAACAACACAATTACCTCTCCTGTTTTGCTATTGACAACATGGGGCAGCCACTTTCCAACGTTGGAATTTGAAGTTAAAAATGATATTTTTGCCAATTTCTCAGCTGGCAATAGCGAATTATAGGATTAATAGGATTATTCTTTAACAAGGTACGACTGTTTATGGATACCATCTATTTTAAGGCTTTATTTTAATACATTTTAAAAATATAACTTGAAAATTTGCAATTGCAACTTTAAGTGATAGATATACACCATAATTTGACATCCATGATGGATTATCCAGAGTAAAGTTAATAATAGTCAACTGTAACAGAGACTATAGACAATAGTAGGCTTCTTTATGAGATAATTCATCTGTTAAAGGCTCAATACCACTCTTGTTGTAACTGAATAATAATATGTCCCAATCTTTATTCTGGTCAACAAATTGTACTATTTTACAATATTTCAATTAATTGATGATACAAATTTCATCTTAACACACCTAATTTAAAAAATTGGAAAAATTCAACTAAATGATTTGAAACCTTTAACGTAAACCTTTTCAAATGAAACTTCGATTAAAAAATATTTTCGAACCCTCTGTACAAGTAAAATAGGATGTAATGGATAATTTACACAACAGGTAGGACACTTAAACATCTAGTACTTAGATAGAGATATTATTTATTTTCTGGAGCTTTCAAGCCAGCAAGAGTGTTATTGTCCCTTTAACGTTACAAAAATCAGTGCCCAAAATAGTGGTGGTAGAGTGATTTTATTTGTTTCATGGGTATTTTAACACAAAAAAATGAATAATTTGATAGAATATTTAATTTATAATATACTGTATATAAACATGAAGTTTATTGGCAAATAACCTTGATGATAAAAGTATCTAACCACAAAAGATATGAGCAACTGACTCACTGAGAATAAAACTGTTCAACCTAAAAAGTAGAATGGTTTATAGTTAGTTTTTGAGCGATAGAAAACATTTGAACTGTGTTATTAATTATTAGGCCTTTTAAATTATTTTTTTCAGAGAGAAGATCAGGAAAAAAGCTGAAAATGTCAAAGCATTCTGTCTCCAAAAAAATCTATAAGTGTGATATTTGTGGTAAATCACTTGGAGTCTACTCTAGTTTAAGTAGACATATGATGATTCATACTGGCGAGAAACCATATAAATGTGATGTTTGTAGTAAATCATTTATAACTATTAGTGCTCTACATATACACACCAGAATTCATAGCGGAGAAAAACCCTTTTCTTGTGATGTTTGTAGTAAATCATTTACCACTAGTAGTTATCTAAGGACACATACCAGAATTCATAGCGGAGAAAAACCCTTTTCTTGTGATGTCTGTAGTAAATCATTTACCAGTAGTAGTAGTCTACAACAACACATAAGAATTCATACCGTAGAAAAACCCTTTTCTTGTGATGTTTGTGGAAAATCTTTTACCACTGGAAGTGATCTACAGCGACACACCAGAACCCATACCGGAGTGAAACCCTTTTCTTGTGATGTTTGTGATAAATCATTTACAAATAGTAGTCATCTAAAACAACACACAAGAATTCATACTGGTGAAAAACCATATAGATGTGATGTCTGTAGTAAATCATTTACCACTAGTGGTGATCTACAACGACACACCAGAATACATACGGGAGAAAAACCCTTTTCTTGTGTTATTTGTGGAAAATCTTTTTTGACTGGATATGATCTACAGAAACACACCCGAACTCATACTGGTGAAAAACCCTTTTCTTGTGATGTTTGTAAAAAATCGTTTGCAGAAAGTAGTAGTTTAAAAAAACACACCAGAATTCATACTGGTGAAAAACCCTTTTCTTGTGTTGTTTGTAGAAAACCATTTATCACTAGTGGTGAATTACATATACATACCAGAATTCATACTGGTGAAAAACCCTTTTCTTGTGTTGTTTGTAGAAAACCATTTATCACTAGTGGTGAATTACATATACATACCAGAATTCATACTGGTGAAAAACCCTTTTCTTGTGATGTTTGTAAAAAATCGTTTGCACAAAGTAGTAATTTAAAACAACACACCAGAACTCATACAAAGGAAAAACCCTTTTCTTGTGGTGTTTGTAGAAAATCATTTACCACTAGTACTAGTCTACAACTACACACCAGAACCCATACTGGCGAAAAACCCTTTTCTTGTGATGTTTGTAAAAAATCGTTTGCACGAAGTAGTCATCTAAAACAACACACAAGAACTCATATTAAAAAATAACATACTTGTAAAAACATTTTCCTGTGATGTTTGTATGTAATAATTCTTTTTCACAAAGTACTCTACAGTGTCACTCCAGTATGGAAGGGTATGGCTGCCAATAATAAATGCTCTGCTAAAATGTCTTTTCCATTGATTATGTGTAAAAAGTACAATGTACAAATTCCTAATATCAATAATGATAAAGTCAAAATACCTCTAAGGGCAAAGCTAAATATAAAATGTCAAATGGAATGTGTCAAATGTTTTATTGGAAAATGACATTTCTTGACGTGTCTGCATTTTACATTTTCCTCATTACATTTTACATTTGATCTCTGCCTCATCTCATTTGTCTTTAACGCTTTCTACATAGCATCTTACGAAGAGCACTAACTTTGATATGCCATATATCATTTACCCTTTACGCTTTCGACATAGTATCTTATCAAGAGCACTAACTTTGATATGCAAATGTAGGATATCAGATTACATTGATCATTAGTATTACATAAACTGTAGGTCCTTTTGTTAAGCATCCGATTACTTTTATGTTTGAGAATGATGTAATCAATTTTTTTTCACTTTGAATACCAGTAATTTTGGATCAAATCACCATGGCAGTGTGTCTATGGGCCTGACAAGAACAGCTGTCTAGTCGTTCAGATGGGACGAAAAACCGGGAGGGCAAGGCTAAGGTCTAAGGACTAAACCTTCTGGTGTAGTTTGTTCCTGATAATAAACTTGATGTGTATCCTGTTGTCCTGATAATAAACTCGATGTGTATCCTGTTGTCCTGATAATAAATTCGATGTGTATCCTGTTGTCCTGATAATAAACTCAATGTGTATCCTGTTGTCCTGATAATAATCTCAATGTGTATCCTGTTGTCCTGATAATAAACTCGATGGGTATCCTGTTGTCCTGATAATAAACTTGATGTGTATCCTGTTGTCCTGATAATAAACTCAATGTGTATCCTGTTGCACTGATAATAAACTCGATGTGTATCCTGTTGTCCTGATAATAAACTCGATGGGTATCCTGTTGCCCTGATAATAAACTTAATGTGTATCCTGTTGTCCTGATAATAAACTCAATGTGTATCCTGTTGTCCTGATAATAAACTCAATGTGTATCCTGTTGTCCTGATAATAAACTCGATGTGTATCCTGTTGTCCTGATAATAAACTCGATGGGTATCCTGTTGCCCTGATAATAAACTTAATGGGTATCCTGTTGTCCTGGTTTTCGTACTCCATCTTTGTGGAAGTTTTTCAAATTTTGTCACTTTTTATGGCATGCTGAGAACTTGTGCATGACAAATACTTTTCCACTATTAGAACATCGACAAAATCCGTAAATTCTCATGTTGGAAAATTCTAATATTTTTATAAACAATATTTCATTCTCAGAAAAGGATTTTGATTAAGTGCATCAACAGAGATAACTGTCAGATTTTTTCAGTGGTAGGGTAAACTCGTCTAATTTGGGGGTCCCTTTCATATTGCAGCCCAATCAGCCCCCCTTCAATCTGTATTATAACATCCCACCATAGGCTGACCAGATATTGAGCCCACATAATTGACCCTTCCCTTGTTTGTCTCGAGAGTGGGGAGCTACGGTGGATTAGTAAACGTAAAAGAGCTCTTGGCAGCTGGAATTTGAAATAAGGGTAGACCGTAGCGCCACGTTCCCCCATGACGCTGCATGACGTATGGCCGTCTTCATTAGTCCAGACGTTAAACAACATTTCCATATTGAGATTGGCGGTTCGCCTACTCCACGACTAATTGCGATTGGCGGTTCGCCTACTCCACGACTAATTGAGATTGGCGGTTCGCCTACTCCACGACTAATTGAGATTGGCGGTTTGCCTGCTCCACGACTAATTGAGATTGGCGGTTCGCCTACTCCACGACCAATTGAGATTGGCGGTTCGCCTACTCCACGACCTATTGAGATTGGCGGTTCGCCTACAAAACGACTAATTGAGATTGGCGGCTCGCCTACTCCACGCCTAATTGAGATTGGCGGTTCGCCTGCCCCACGACTAATTGAGATTGGCGGTTCGCCTGCTCCACGAGTAATTGAGATTGGCGGTTCCCCTACTCCATGACTAACTGCAAGTGTTGGGTGACCAACCTATACGAAAGCTGGTCAAAAGGCAACAACAAACAATGTTATTACCCCTTTAGTTAAGGCTTATGAATTTTGATAACTTTATAAACTATAAACTAATAGTGAATCATAAATTAATCGACGAACATAACCCAATTTCAATATTTGCGCATTGACCTTTAACACTATGAATGGGAGAGTTAGACAATGATTTTAAAGGAGTATATGACAGTGTTAAAATATTACATCACACTTAGATCTTGTACGCTTTGTGGGGCTATACTATATACCGGAAAACACCGGAAAACACCTAGATCTTGTACGCTTTGTGTCTTACAGTCAATAAATGTCATGATGTAATACTTTAGATAGAGTTTCTGTTATAATACTTTACTCGTTTCTGTTGAGTTGTTTATCAGAAGTAACCAATGACAACAATTTCAATTTTATTACCAACCCTTTCACAATATTTGAATGAAATATCTCACACGGGGTGTTAATCTGTTTTCAGTTTCTATTCCAATTCAATAAAACATTTAATACATGTCTTGACTTTATTCATTCTTTACAATTTATGACGTTATTCGTGTATTTTAAATTTTTCAGTTCAAGAGATCAACATATTACAATTTTATACATTCAATATTACACGTAGACCTAAATGTATTTTTCAAATACGTGCATAACCATATATATATATGAAATATATTATAAACAGATATGCTATGACCAGAGTTGCCATTATCTGTGTTATTCGACTGGAAAACCCCTGTCATTCACTCTGTCGTTCGACTGATCCATCATTCACTTTGTCATTTGTTTGATGAACCCATGCCATTCTCTTGTCATTCGTTAATTGTTGAACCCATGTCTTTTTGTCACTCGTCTGACGAACCTGTCTTTGGACGGCATTTGACTGGTGAACTCTGTCATTCACTGTCATTCGTCAAGTGAACTTCTGCCATTCACTGTCATTTGCATGGTGAACCTAGGCTCTGTCATTCACTATCATTCGCCTGGTGAACCTCTGCCATTCACTGTCATTCGTATGGTGAACCTAGGTTCTGTCATTCTGTTGTCATTCGTCTGGTGAACCTCTGTCAATCTCTATCATTCCCCGGATGGACGAATGACAAAGTGAGTGACACAAAGAATAACACAGGTTCACCAGACGAATGACAAAGTGAAGATCAGAATTCATCCGATGTTCCACAGAATTAAACAAAGCTATGGAATCTTATAAAACTCATTGGTTGATTGCGGAGGCCTCGGGGTCACCACTAATAAATAAAGATTAAGTCGATATTTATTAAACCCACTGAAATTGAATTATGTTGAGGAGCGATTATTACTTAGTCATTCGCCATTGTAGGTGAGTTTGATTGTTATTGACTCATTCACTGAACTGTCACAATTAACAGTTTTCATAGACTAGAGACTAGAGTGATCTAGGCTACACGTGTTGAAATCATAGAATAGAGACTAGAGTGATCTAGGCTACACGTGTTCAACTCAGAAAAAATAAACTTATTCAATATTGAAAGAAGTGACAAAGGAGATGATGGATGAAAATAAACCAAAATGTACATTTTAATGTAATATATGAGTGTATCTGATTTATTTTATAAAACTTTTATGGTAATTTCTAATAAGCTAGTATTGGCTGGTGGGTAAGACGCTGGCTCGCTAGTCTGGTGGTCGCGTGTTCGATCCTTGCATTGACCGAGAAAGTTCATCGGGATTTCGCTATATCAAAAGGTCTGTCATTGAGTCAACTGGCGTGGTTTTCGATTCCCCGATTGTGCGTGACAAGGAGTAGGTTCAGCTGGCCAACCTTATGGTGTTTCTTCAGTCCTTGGGTTTCCTCCCACTGTTAAAGACCCCTACGCGCAAGTGTATTATTGAAATAAAATTGAACATATGTTGGTCCCGAAATGACCTAGTGGACGTTAAACCCCATTCCTCTCTGTTGAAAGTCAAGGTGCTGTGTTATTTATTATTATATCAATATTACAAGCCAAGGTGCTGTGTTATTTATTATTATTACAATACGTGTTAAATCAGTTGGAGCCATGGTGAGTAAAACATTAACTCGTTAACCCAGACGTCCCATGTTTTAACCTGGTGTTGGACGAGAAAGTTTATCAGGATGTTCCAGCATAGTTCCCCCTTGTCAGTGGTGTAGGACAGAACACCCAACAAGGACAGTTTCTAGTTGGGATTCAATATAAAGGTAGGTCGTAGTGCCACTGTCTGTACAAATTTCCATCATAGCACAGGCAATATTTGTTAGTCCCAGAGTTTCAAACCCTCTTTCTCATTCTTTCTTCCTCTCCTTCCACCTTATCTGTCTGAGAGTTTTCAGTCTGGTTGTTTCCTGGTACAGGACAGATGGTGTAACAAATAAGACTGTCTGGTTGTTTTAGATAGAAGAATTGGAGCACATCCCTCCTATACCTCTCTCTCTCCCCTCTCCCTCCCCCTCCCATACCTCTCCGCCCCCGCCCCCTCTCTTTCCCATACCTCCCTCATTCTACCCCCCTCCCATACCTCTCTCTTTCTACCCCCAGGGTATTTGGGACTAACATATAGAGATAAACTAGGATATTTGGGACTAACATATAGAGAAAAATAAAAAGGAGTTTAAAGTCCTACTTACTTCTGTCTCATCCGAACGACTAAACCCTACCCCCCCCCACCCTCTCAAAATCTGGGGATCAATATCTGGTACATTCCTAACAATCTTTCACAGGGCATGATGGACGCAAGACGGACTAGAGTGACGACAATATACAACCACATTTCAATAATGGTGTGTAATAATTAGAAGGAACATTGACCATAAGTTATTAATTTTAATCAGAATAACAGTTGCCTAATTATTTACGTCTTATAATGTCAGTTATTTTATTAATTGTTACTTAAACTTTAAAGTTTTTATGATGATCAATAAATCTACTGACAGGATTACTGAGTCTCTTCCAGTCAATAAGATCAGTATCACAGTATGACACACCACCAGGTCTAACAGTCTCATTACATTGTTTAACTACAGATTGTATATCATCTGTTTTATTTATAACTTTAAATATGACGTCAGCTTTACATGACGTAATACTTTTATCTTTAACGTCATCCAGGAATAATACAACATATAATGATGATAAGTAGTTTAACACACGTATACTCCATGTAAAACCTGATACTACATGTTGTTTACCGTTATACCAATCACCATAGCCTGACACAGTATCCACATTAAAAACATCTTCAATCATATTCTGATGACAACTTACAATTTTACCAAGTTGAGTAGTTAACAAAGTTTTATCTATCTCTGCTACTTGAAATGTTGAATATCTTACATCAGGTATATCCAATTTTCTACAACAACTTTCATCTTTCTCCTGTCTAACTTTAGGTAATCTTTGTAAAACTTCAACAGCGGACGAATCTTCTAAAACATTCACTGAATATTTAACACTAGCTTTTAAATCTTCTGTTAGTCTTTTAATGTCCTCCATTAATTTCCCAAATTTAGATTCTTCTTGTTCACTAGTTTTCTGCATTTCCTTTTTAATATTTTCTCCAATTTTACGAAATTCTGAACAGATTTTATCCACGTGTGCATCTACTTTGTCACATTCTGTTTTTGTACACTTTTTGACTTCAATTTACTATTTAAATTATCATAATGTTTCTGAAAATTGGTAATTTATTTTTCTAACTCGTCATTCAGCGTTTTTAAATCTTGTCTGATATTTTGCCGGACTTCACCCTTCTGTAAATGTAACAAATTATGTCTGTTATGATCGACCACGAAACAAATCAAGCAAACGGCTAGTGAACAATCTTTACAGTATATTGTTACTGTCTCATCTTCATGGTTTCGACAGAAATCTTTCGGATGTGTGACGGAAGTGACTGGTGTCTTTCCCTTCATTGGTTCGTTTGATTGTTGACAGACTTGTTTTTCATCATATCGACAAACAACATGGTCTTTACAAATTTTCATCTTATCATGCATGGTTTTACATGATTTACATAAATATTGATCACAGTCTCGACAAAAATATTGAGATGTATCTTCAGTACATACATCACATTGTGGAATAGTAGAATTGTCATCAATGTTTAGTTTAGGTTTAAAACGCTGTATACCCCCGTCTATAAGACACCGACATAATGGACATTGGAACTGGTCTTTAGATATAACATACGACAGTATAGTCTACAGTCTTACTGTTACACGGGTTGTATAAAATACAGAATGAATCAGTTTGTCCAAAATAAAACACGATATAAAATCAAAACTATTAAAACAGTATAGTTTACAGTCTTACTGTTACACGGGTTGTATAAACTACAGAATGAATCAGTTTGTCCAATATAAAACACGATATAAAATCAAAACTATTAAAACAGTATAGTTTACAGTCTTACTGTTACACGGGTTGTATAAACTACAGAATGAATCAGTTTGTCCAATATAAAACACGATATAAAATCAAAACGATTAAAACAGTATAGTTTACAGTCTTATACGTAACTAGTCTACTAGATCACTGACACAACAATACAACACTACTTTAATAGTAACGTCTCTTGTTAACAGAGCGCGTGCTAATCACAAGCAGACGACATAAAATAACATAAAACCTATACAGTATGGTATTCTATTTCAGTTACTTCCCGCGTAATGACGCAATTTGCACCGAGTTTAAAGCTCAAATTCAACATTTCTACAGTTTCTAGTGTGCCCGATTACTCTGCATCCATTTCGTATCAATCCTTGATGAAATACCGTTTCTACTTAATCTTAAACAACAATAACCAACCGTTAAACAAGATTATTTTAGTTGAACTGAGCGAGGCAGTGGATGACAATAACCAATCAATCGTAAAACAAGATTATTTTAGTTGAACCGCGCAGTGGCGGCGCCATGGGGGGGGGGGGCATTTCCCCCCTCATAAATCTGGTCTCCCCTTTGCTTTCCCCCCAATGATTTAAGAAAATAAAAAAAAATATTTGTAGTACGTTTCGGTAATCAATACCTTCTACGGTGAATAAATCCCACATCCCCTCTCAGTCATAGACTTAGATGTTGTAGAGCATTTCCAACAGTTAATTTTTCAAAATTTTCTTGGGGAGGTCCCCAATACCCCAACAAGGAATCGCTACTTTGGCGCTCATAAGGGGAATTCGTTGAGGTTCGCAAGTCCGTTCGTTTGAAATTTTGTTCTGGTCGGATAAACTAGTGATCGGGTGAGGGACGGTATCTGGTCAGATCTATTTATCTCGACGATCGATGTCTGACTGCACACTGTCAGACAGCATTTTCGGCAGTCTATTTTTCAATATTTTTGAAGGGGGGTCCCCCATACCCTCCGTAAGGACTCCCTACTTTGACGCTCGTGACTGGGCTTCGTCGAGGTTCGCCAATCCGTTCGTTTGACACTTTAACTCAACGATCAGTGCCTGAAATACTGC